CCTGAGCCTGGCCCTGCTCACCCCCTTCCTGCCACCCCCTTCCAACCCCGGCCCCTGTCTCTGCTCCTCAGCCAGCGCCTGCCCCTCTCCTCCTTTGTGCTCAGACCCCCACAGCGCTCCTGGCCAACTCACTCAACCTTGTCTGCGCTGGCATCGTGCCAAACCCATACAATTTTTCCGACTGTTTGATGAACTCCAAGCCTTGGGGGCTAGCTGGGGCAGGACTGATCGTTACGCTAGCACAAACAGCTGTCACAGAAATACGCAGAATCGATACCAGCCCGAGTCACCAGGCAGCCGAAGCAGCAGCCTCCTCCAAGCCAGGACTCGGCCCTGGACCACCGTTAGGTTATCATGGGTTGTCTTTGTAAAAAAATATGTATTTAACCAAAACCCTCCAAAGTGCCAGATTTTCCAGCATTATTAGAGAAGCCAACTAATCAGTTTAAGCCTTCCTGTTCTATGAAAGCACAATGAAGTTGTCAATTCATGGTAAAACAAATGGGAGTTTTTCCTTAATCTCCACTGAGCACTAAACCCACGAAATGAATTTAAACAAAAGTCACTCAGCTTTAAAAACTTTAGATCTGCTTTTGTAATTCCTTTTTTTTTTTATTGTTTATGAAAAACTTAACAGTCCCAGGTTTAATTTCCAGAATTCCACCTGTCAGAATTACGTTGTAATCTGGAAGCAGCAGACTGCACATGTAGTGCCAGGGTGTGGAAGATGCCAAACAGTAACTGTCTGCTTCAGATGATTACAAGTGGAAATGCACTCACTCATCATCTGCTAACTTCGGCTGAGCATATCACCTGGTATAAATTTTAGATCACACAGCTCTCAAACATACCTTCAAGAAATACGGAGTAGTTTCTATTGTAAGTTGTAATGGGAGGTTATAGCTTATTAGAATGAAATTAGGGATAATTTATTGTTGACAGAAAATGCAGGACCGGAAGAGACCCACTGGAATTTCATCGTGATTTTTTTCCTTTTTTTTTTTACTACATTGTTCATGTTGCATTGTAAAAGCAGTTACATCTTTTGCACCATTATTCCTTTTAAAAAAGCAATAATCTCACTGTCTAGCCAGAATTATTAATGGCTTTCATATCCATTTTAACATCTCTTACCCTTCGAGTTCCTCTTGCCTGACGAAAATACATACAGTTCTGGGTGAGGTCCTCTTTTAGTGTCGAAACTAGAAATGAAAATGTTAGTCAAAATCAGTCCCACACTTGATCCTGAAGGGAGTCCACTGATCACCTGTGGTCAGCTATACAGAACCGCTTTCAACACTGATATTTGTTACTTTGATTTATTCAGTTCCTCACCCCTCCCCATATCCACCACTTACAGCATTTGTAAATATGTCCACTTTAACCGGAAGAAATATTTTTTTCCGTTGCCCTGCACCAAATCTTTTACTGAATTCCAGAGAGATTAGATATTGCATGTCCCTTTTCCAGGGAGTCATTTACCCTGTCAAAAAGAGATACTGGCTTGGCACAAGCTACCATGATAAATGGAAGTCATATTTATCACATTTTCAAAATACTCCCCATACACACAGAGAAGACCAGGACCCTTATAAAATGCAGCCACGCTCTGTTCTTTTGAAATCAGGCCGATAGATGGAGCAGTGACTGCTAAACGTGAAGTATGGAAGGAGCCCAAGAGGAAAAACAAGAATCCATCAACCTGTCGAAGGTCCCACTGCGGACAACCCTACCCACCAGCTGAGAGAGTCATGCTCTTTCTAGCAGCAGGGGTGACAGCAGGTACAACCAGTAGAAATAACCTGATAGTCTGGTGACAACTGCATTAGCCTGAGAGGTGGGAGAGGTGAGATTGAACCCTGTCCTTCTAAGGTAAGCTTTAAAACTTACCCCGGCACTTCTAGGGTCAACACACTGTATAAATATGACAATTCATTCCTGTAATAACTTTTTTTACAAATTCTGTGGCAAAAAAAAAAAGTAAAAGTAGTTGACACATCACAAAATACCTGGGAGATTTCAAAGTAATGTGTTGAGCCAAATGAATAGTTTGCATTTTGGTTAATATCACCATTTTAGAAAACCTCCTGGTCCCTCAAAAAATTCAGTTGTTCTAGTCAAGGTGCAACATGCTCATATTTCTCTTTTATTTCATTCTAATCATCAGTAATGTCAGTACTTACTGTAACAATAGTTTTCCAGTGAACAACAGCCTGAATTAGGTGGTTGGTTTACTTGAAATTTTTTTGTAACAAGCTGTTACCAGCATGGGGGCTGAACCAATCCGGTCTGGTTTACAGTTGATCCATGGACTCTGAAACAGCTTTCATTTCTTAAATGTTTCTTTCACTCTTTCAGGCAGCAGGACCCTCCCCAATCCTTGAAGACTGATACTGCGTGGATGCAACAAATACAGCACAGCATAGAAGTCTAAGGAAGAGGCTATCAAAGTTCAAAATGCTGCTGGAGGCAAACTGCACTTTTGATTAATTGGAGTTGAAGTAGCACTTTGTGCTCCTTTTCTGTTCTTAATGCTCCTCAGGGCAAGCAACCTGTGTTGACACTGCACCCTCTGCTACCCAAAGGTCCAGCTTTGTAAGGTCACTGTCTCTTTGCTAATCAGCAGTTCTAGGTCTGCATTCATTAAAGAACTCCTTCCTCAAGAGGAAGATAATTTCTGTGTTAATATCTCCAGCCAACAACTATTCCCTAGCCTTCTAAAAGTCAGCAGATATGTGGGAATGCAGCAAGGGTGCCAGGACCCTACAGAGCTGCCCAGGACTAGCACAGGGAACGAGGCAGCAGCAGTTCACAGCACTGTGCCACCAAAGTTTGCCAGAATGTCTCTAGTTTGACTCTCCTGAAGTTTCTGTCTAGGCTTTCTTCATGCCATTCTTTCCCAGACAGTGTCTTTCACCTGAGCTCCCCACCTCTGAAGGACCAGCTCATGCATGAACTGAAGTACAGCAGCTCTGAGTGCACAACAAACACGTGGTTCTCAGAGACTAAGTCAACATCTTTGCTTATATTTCTGGCTATGGAAGAAGGTCCTCAGGTACAGAACATGAGCAAGCTGGAAGAGGAGGATTAACCTCTCCTTACTTGCAATGCACCAGCATACTCCTGGAATGCCAAGTGTTTGAGACCAGTGCTGGTTCTAGGACAGGCTGGGACATCCTGTAATGCCCTATGCGGTTCTGCAG